TGTATTCGTTTGATCACAATGAAATCATCATTTTTTAAAATCATAAATTCATTAAATTTTAGGGTGACAGTGGCAGCGCACTCGTCGGTGTGAACACCGATCTGACAGATCTGACATTATACCGCGATACCCTGATCGGTATCACGAGTCACTTCGTGGGCGACTCCAGTTGTGGAACCGGAGCGAGATACACTCGAATCTCGGAGTATCTGGATTTCATTCGTAATGCTCGAGAAATGCATTTAAGAGATATTCGGTATACAATTTCGTATCATCAGAGTGAAGACGAGGTGCGCTCGATTCCTTTTTGCGTCAATGACCTAGTATTGTAGAGTAACATGTGGATATGATTAACTTAGCATTACTTGTGTATCGTTAGTGGATATTTTGTATATTTTACTTAAAATAAACTTTTATACCAGTAATTTAATTGCTTGTCTTTCGAAATAAAAAACACAAAAAAGTAAAAATATATCTTCCTAGGCAAAATCCCATGCTAATATTGATTAAATTTTCACCAAATTGGAAACCTATATGGAAAACAAATGTTAGATCAGTCAAAAGACTTTTATTTATTTTATTGATTGCATTAAAGGTAATGACGAAAAAAATTTGTTTTGAGAAGTCTGCATTGTTTGATTTATCTTTTAAAATACATTTTTGAATCACGTGCTAATTTCTGTGATACTTCTCTCTCAATATGTAACGGTTAATAGCACATAAACTAATACAAATTTTACAATTATAATATGTTTAATTCGATCTCCTGTTCAATACACTAGTCAAAAGAATTTAATGAATTTAAAAAATCACTATATTGCAAAATTAAAGATACGGGAGGAAGCTTTTCTACCCGTTGACAAACTTTACTCGACTGCAATTCGAAAAATTAATTGCACCATCCACTCGCCGACGTATGGTTTCGAAAATATAATTTTTGACAATCTGTTTTCGATCGAACGGTTTACTCGCACTGCCGAACCGTTGCTCGCACATTACAAAGCTTTGTACTTTTCGACAACATGAAATTATTTTATTTCTTACAAATAATTTATTTTTCACGCACGATTCGATCGAAACACAGTCGCGAGGGTCACTCACCGCGCTCGTGCACACTGAATATCTGAGTATACGCGTACTTGAAAATACACCTGTGTTACATCGAGCTAGTAATTATAAAATTCTAGGAAATCTTCATACGAATATCAGACAGTTTTTGCTCTTCGATATTTCATATCAAAAATGTTTGAGCACCAGTTGCAAAAAAAAATATTTCAAAACTTAGAAATCAGATTTAGCGTTGTAGTTTTTAATTATCAATCTGTTGCATACAACGATTACGAGACTTGAATGTCGGTTGGCCTGGTGGAGGCAAGAAGAGCGAAAGAAAGAGTTAATAGTACTTACAAAATAGACGAAGGATTGCTGTCCAAGTACGTCGTCTGCTCGAGGGCAATTCCGACTCGCGAAGGTGTTGAGGTGTCAAATACCTTTCGATTCGGTTTCGTCGATTCGTCAGATCTTACCTGTGTCGCGGCGCGATGCTAACACATTATGCTACATTACATCCGCGCGAGCTGACATCATTCTCGTATCGAACCATCGTTACAATTCAAGTATTTTAATAATTACATCTCAGTGCGAGCTTCATATTTTTGAAATTTATCCTCAAAAGTAAAGTAATTTTCAAAAGAGATGATTAATTTCAATGGTGCAAGTAATTGAGCTCAATGAATAAATTAAAATTCGAAATCACGAGCTCTCTCATTCGTGAAGGCTATGGACGGTGTTATCAGCAACAGTCGATAACAAATTCACTATTCTGTGATAATACGCACTTTAGGTGGATTTATAATTAAATCGATAAGTTGGTACCAAATCATCCAAAAAAAACACTCCTCTCATCGTTCGGAATTGATTAAAAATTTTGGGAAGAAGATTTATTTTGAATAATATTTGTATTTTATTTCCAAAAATTGAAACGAAAAAAGAATATAAATATTCGACGTTATGACTGTCGTGAGTATAACGGCTCTGGAGCTTTGATGGTGCAGATCAAAGCCTCCGTCCACTCGTGTCAGTGTCAGAGAGTTCGTAATTCAGCCAGCAAAATGTTGAAAAAATCCTTGTTGAGTTTATTCTTGGTACTGCTTCTGAGCATGGCAGTAAGCAATGGTGAGTCTTCTCCTTTTTCCATCTGTTCTTTGTTTATTTTTATTTTTTTTCGTCCAAGTACAACGAACTCTTTCTCTTCAATAATCTAGTTTCAGCAATCCGTACAGCAAAAATGAGACGCAGAATACACGGCGGTAGATTGGCATCGACGGAACCGATAAAATTCAAGCATCAAGTATCCCTTCAGGCGATATCAAAAGATGGAGATTGCACTAGTCATAGGTGCGGTGGCGCAATAATTGATGAGTGGAATATCATCACGGCCGCCCACTGTATCACCTATGACGACAAACACATTATCAATCCGTTTGACAGAATTGTCGTAGCGGCCGGTTCGCCGGATCTTCGCGACAAAGACGCAAACATTTATCGCGACGTCGAGTGGCTCATGATACCCTTGGCTCACACGAGGTGGAGCTGGCGCCTATGGTTACATCCATATGAACCGCGCCACGATATAGCAATTTTAAGGGTAAGTGCTTGAAAAAAAATCTTATCCAGCTCGTATAGATTTAATTTTTGACTTATTATCTCTCGATAACAGTTGAGCGAGCCATTGCCTCTAGGCACCGATCCAAGACTAATGGCGATCAAATTACCCGAGGTCGATGACTTTCCAGAATGGTTTACACAATTCGCCATGGTGAGCGGCTATGGTCAACACGCACCTATAGCATACACCAGTCCAGTGTTACGATTTGTTCACGAAGAGATAAACTACCCCGGACATAATTGCTCAGCCAAGCTGGTCTGCACCAAGCCTGTTCACAAGCGCAGTAGCGGCATATGCCGGGTACGTTGATTTCACATATACGTTTTATCACGATGAAAAAGTATAAAATCCATTCTTTCTTTTTTATTATTACAAATTCGATCGAATTTCAGGGTGACAGTGGCAGTGCACTCTTCACTGGAAACGAGGATAAGTCAACTTGGAATTTATACATTCATAAACTGATCGGTATTGCGAGTGCTTTTCATGTTGGCGATTTGGGTTGTGGCGATGGAGCCATATACACTCGAGTCTCAGAATATCTAGATTTCATTCGCGACGCGCGGGCACTTAAGCTCGATAATTTACATTCCGCACATACAGTACATCAAACTTCGAAGTCAAACGAGTGGCGAAGTTTGCCTCACTGCATACAAACGGTGTTTTACGATCGGCCTGCAACCGATTTCGACGGAGAGAAGAAATATAATTCCTTAAAAATTTGGAAAAATGCATAAAAATTATAAGAAATAAAATAAAAATTGAGAGAAATAAAGTAAAAATTACAAAGGATTTTAGTAAATTTTTCCCTAACCTCAAAGATGTCACACTTTTATTAAGACCTATAGCAATTTTTACTATAAATTTTTCTCCGTGTGTGAACAAAGTTTGCAAAAATTTTAAAGCAAATCGGACTCGAAGATTTCGTAACAAATGAAATTAGTGCTCAGTGCTTGTTGCCAATTTTGAAATTTCTAGCTTGTCTTTTAAAATAAAAAAAGAACATGACAAAATAAAAATACCCTGAAGAGAAAGATATGATTGTTTTTTCATGTCCCAAAGAAAAACTTCATGCTGGTGTTGGAACCTGAAAAAAAAATAAATAAAAGTTACTTTAATAAAAAAATTTTCAATCGTTTTATTGATTGCATTAAAGATACCGACGAAAATAATTACTCACTTCTTGGCTTACTTAAAAACTATCCATTGATATTATTAACCAAGGTCAATATCAACAAATAACGCTGCAATGACGTTTTTTTAAACACCAGGAATAAATTATTGTGTTCTCATCATGTATCTATCGTAAGTTTACGTATTAATAGACGATCTGCGTCTCGCTTCATTTTTTATTTGTACATTTTTAAAAGAAATAAAACAAATCCTAGCATTAAGAGGCAATTTTTCACGATTCCATGGTTCGGAAACTATTGATCTCCAGAATAAGTAATCAGCAACACGAAGAAAAGTTATGATAACCTAACTGAATTTTGCGGACAGCCTGACACATTTGTCTCGTTGCATTACCGATAAGATTGCAATGCTAGCAACAGGACTTGTTCAGTGATCAAACTTAGGATATACTAGTGACTCGATGTTTTCGTTAGAATTTTTTGTCAAAAATAATTTATCGTAATAGAAAAAACGAAGAAATACATTTTCGGAAAAAAGTCCCTTTTTGGAGTGTTTTTAAACAAATTTTGATGAATACTTGATATTTTACTATTACAAATAATAATAAACCATTCATACTTAACTGGTTTAACTTGATGTTACAGCGATGAAGAACTAAAAACTTTTGATTCCGTTGTTTTCGCCACGATCGAATAAGACATCTTTTTGTCACGACTCGTTAGCGAGTACTCGCTATTCTGCCACACGCAAATAAGGCATGTTTTTTTCACTCAAGTACATTTACGCAATTCTCGTGCTGAGGGAGGGAGACGATATATGATCAATGACTAGTCAATTAAATGTTTGCAAAGCACTACTCTGCGAGAAACAAACATGTCCTAGAAAAAAATTAATTGTTCATATATTTATTGAAAAATATTCTTATTGTTCTAACAGTCAATTAAACTCAAACAATTGTCTATTTTTTTTAAAACCAAAATTGGTTATAGATTGCAGTAGATATTTATAGTTGAAATTACAATTAAATCGATAAATTGGGTCATGTCATTCAAATATCACTTTTTCCATTGTTTGAAATTGATTCGAAATTTTTGCCTTAGTTTCTTTTAATATTGTTTACAATTTATTTCCAAAAATTGATTTAAATATAGAATATAAATATTTCTACATAGTGATTGTTAAAGATATATAACGGCTCTGTGGCTCTGATGGTATAGATCGAAGCCTCTGTTTACTTGTATCAGTATCGGTGCTCACATTTTAGTAAGGAAATGTCGAAAATGTCTTTGGTGAGTTTGTTCTTAGGTCTGTTTTTAATCATCGCAGTGAGCAATGGTGGGTATATGCTTTTTTCATCCAAACGTCACACTGTAATAAATTCTATTCTCTCCCTTATATCATAAAGTTTCAGCCAACACAGAGGGTAGCCAACTTGCTCAGCAGGAGGATTTCAAACACCAAGTGTCCATCCAAATCATCTCTGGAGATCGCTCCAAACATACCTGCAGCGGCAGCATACTCGATGAGTTGAACATCGTCACGGCCGCTCACTGCGTCACCGTGCCGAAAACCAACGAATTGGACAATCGCAAAATCGTCGTCGTAGCCGGTACGGCGGATCTGCGCGACAAAAGCTCCGGCTTGCGTCGCGACGTCGAGTACATCATCGTGCCCAAATCTTACAGTCTCAGAAAGGGCAACTACGCCGATATAGCAATTTTGAAGGTAAATATATGCGAAGCTGTAAAATAACTCACATTTAATTTTCAACTTTTTTTCTCTGTAAAATAGTTAAGAAATCCGTTGCCCCTCGACACTGATTCAAGAATAATGGCAATCAAATTACCCTCGGCCAATCAGAATTCACTGTCAGATATCGTCGTGAGTAGCTTTAGCTTTTTCAACAATTATCCCAATGGCACAATAGTGTGGCAAACTCCCAGTCCAGTTTTGCGGTGGACATTTGAAGAAATCAATGCTCCCGATTATAAGGACTGCCACGTCAAGGAAATCTGCAGTAAGCCCAAAGACAGCCGTTCTGTGCAGGGGGCATGCAATGTACGTTCATTGTTTACGTTTGGAAATAACGAAATTTATTATTATTATACTTTTTTTTTTTTAATTCATTAAAATTTAACACATTTTTTTCAATTACAGGGTGATGGTGGTGCTCCACTCGTCGATGAAAATACATACTCCTTGATTGGCGTGGCGAGACACTTAAAATACGAACTGTGTGGAAAGGAGGCCAGATACACAAGAGTTTCAGCTCATTTAGATTTCATCAATAACGTACGAAGAATCAATTTTAATGATATTGCTTATTTGAAGTTATAAAATGATCTTGAGTTACAACATTCTGATGGCTACCTATCTTATTAGCCATCGCTATATGCTATGAAATTCTTACACAAGGTTGTTTTAAATTGTTTTAGTTTTTAGTTTTGTATTTTTAAGCTTGTAAATAAATTAAACAATTTCCGATGAATTGAATTTCATACAAATTAGTGAATCATCTATACATATTAAGAACAAAAATTATCCACTTGTAAGTTTCCTATATCTGCACTTCTGCACAACTGCACACATCTGCTAAGTATCTTTGTTTACTTAGATTCTCCCTCAAACTATATCAATTGTAACAGAGGACAAGAATAACGCAAGTCTTTTAACATTAACTTGGTATTAGCTTCTTTTTCTATCCACGCAATACGCATATTGAAATAATCAAAGGAATAAAAATTTGGGAATGGATGAAAAAAGGCATTATGTGCAACACTTCTTTTTCTTCAAAATTTCATCAATTTTTTGATAGGTTTTTTCACCATATAGGAATAAATACGTAATATATTGCTCTTTCAGATAAAAGTAAAAAACAATTCATACTTATTTGATTCAAAGTGCCACTTTATCTAAACGTTTTTTCATACATAGTGTTACAATTTTAGGAGAATCTTCATGAGTTAACCTACAGTCTCCCTACAAAATTTCACACCCCAAAGTCTAACCAAATTTCAAAAACCAGGCCGAACAAATATCTTTAAGTAAAATTTCATCTTGATGCACGAATAATACAAAACTGAAAAAAAAATTCTGTTATCTTCGCTTGGACTATGACACCTTTTTGACACGACGTGTTCAGAAGTACTTGCCGTTATTCCGCACCAAAATAAGGCATGTTTCAGCAACTCCAGCTTATTAGCGTGATTTAATTTATGTGACACTTGCACTAGGGGAGGGCGTCGATATATCGTCAATTACTAGTCCATTAATTTTTCACAATAACATTGCTTCGCAACAAAGATAAAAAAAATCCTGCAAAAAAATCTTCGGATCATTGGAACAGCTCATTTAACTCGAACAATAAGAATTCAGTAGTAAATGAAATTCATTCAAAATTTTGGCAGTTCGATAATGTTTGCACTTCATTTTCGAACATTGAAACGAAAGAAGAATATAAATATTTAACGCGAAAACCGTAAAAAGTAGAACGTCTTTGAAGCTTCGACGGTGAAGATCAAAGCCTCCGTTCACTCGTATCAGTGTGGATTCTCAAAGTATACTAATCAAAATGTTGAAAAGGTCTTTGGCGAGTTTGTTCTTCGGACTCCTGTTGAGCATCGCAGTAAGCAATGGTAAAATTTCTCGATTTTTCACCTATTTTTTTTTTCAAAATCCAAACGTCACACCGTATCAAACTCTGTTTTCTCCTCTGCATCCACGAAGTTTCAGCCGACGAAGAGCCCGAGCTATTGGACGGCGGATATCTCGCTGGCCCGGACGAATTCAAGTATCAAGTGTCCGTTCAGCTGCTCGAAGACGATTGCAGGCGTCACATATGCGGCGGCGCGATAATCGACGAGTGGCACATCGTCACGTCCCCCATGTGTTTCGACGTGGTATCCCTCGTGAACAACGACATATTCAAGCAAAACATTAACTACGTCGTCGTGGCCGGTACGAGGGATCTGCGCAACAAAACCTCCGGCTTGTATCGAGAGGTCGAGTACACCTACGAGCCGGCCAAAAGTGTACACGATGAGTTATTTCATTCGAAACGCTGCTCCGAAATAGCAATTTTGAAGGTAAGCAGCCATTTGGAACTGTACGAGAAAAACTGCATCGAGCTTGTACGTTTAATTTTTGGCCTTTTTTTTCTCTTGACAATTACAGTTGAAGAATCCGCTGCCCCTCGACACCGATCCAAGAATAAGCGCGATCGATTTGCCCACCGTCGATCAGTACTTGTACGAGTCTCAACAAAAGCCCTTGACGATCGTCTCGACTGGCTTCGGCTTTTATCAGAAGTACCCCGACGGCCGAATGGTGAGAGGATGGGACAGTCCAACTTTACAATGGGATTATCAAGAATACCAAGATCAATACCCCGAACCGTGCGATAGTATGACAGTCAAAACTAACTTCCCTGAGGACCCGAATATCGTGCCGACGACCTGCAATGTACGTTTATTTTAAGCGTTTCTTTTTTTTCTTTTTTCTTTTTGGTTACAATTGATTCAAATTAATCGCAAATTTTTCCTGAATTTCAGTCCGACTACGGCGCTCCACTCGTTGAGAAAAAAACTCCGACTGGAAAATACACCTTGATTGGTATCGCTTTGGATCGTGCGGGTAAGTATTGCGATCTGGGCCGCAAATTTGTCAGAGTCTCGGCTTTTCTGGATTTCATCGGTAACGTACAAAACCAAGTTTTCAACGAAGTGATATCTAAAAAGATACCGGAGCATCACGATGCAGAATTGATGCCCTCGTACCCTCTCTGTTGGTAGTGCAAGTCGTGTGATGTATTCGTGAATTTCAACTGTATTATAGTTGTTGTAAATAAAATTTAAATTCGCTGGAGTAGTTGTCAAAATATTTTGATTTTATTACTATCATAGCTAATTCAGTAATTGTTCAATAGTGAATTGATATCAAATCTTTCCAAAATTATTACCGCAATTTTAAATTACTCTGTGGTACACTTTTTAATGTGATAAAGTTTAAAAAGTAAAATTTTCGCGACAATTGTTGAATTGTATACTCGTCATTTACTTAGACGGAGCGATTCCGTTCTGTCTATGTATAATGTAGCGTCCTGATCGTGTACTCGATAATAAGTATACATCACTTTGCCACACATGTGTTTATTTTTAAATATTCGTCCTAGTACATATCGTATTTATAGTCAGTTCAGTACTCGTTACGAGGCCAAAGCGTATCCATCGCATCTCAGCAAGTGATTTTCGTGAAAAAAGAAAAATTTTTATATTTATTCGTTAAAACGAGTGGCTGTGAGTTGTGCGTGTGAGAAGCGCATAAAAATGTCTTCGTCCGAAGGCCAATTCAACCACAAAGTTCGTGAAAAGTTAAAGAGTATGCGTGCCAACTTCGATCGCGATATGGAAGAAAAGAGATTCGAGTTTCTTCACGACTCTTATCTCTTGATCAAAAATTTGAAGGGAAAAACAATTGATCTTCGGGACATTTTTCGTCGGGAGGAAATCGATCTTCTTATCACGAAATCCGTCGATTTACATAGTCAAGTGGGTGCCAAATATTCAGGAGAATCGATCATAAAATTCGTGGCTGACAGCGGCTACAAGGACAAACCCGAGCTCGATGAAAACGGCAAGCCATCCTCGCGCCGAGCCACACCGGTGCATCAGGCATACAGACTCCAGTGTTTCGAACTGCTCTACGATCTCATTAAGGTGTACGACAGGATGGACGTGAATTACACCGACGAGACCGGCCTGACGCATTTCCACGTGGCCTGCGAGTGCGGCTTCCAAGAGGTCGTGAAGAAATTCCTGGAGCAAGGCCAGGTGGATCCCAATCTCATCGTGCCGGAAACAGGCGATGCGCCGTTGCATTTTGCCATGAGGTGCAACGATATGGAGGTGATCAAATTGCTGCTGAGGAGCGGCGCCGATCCAAATATGGCCAACAACGAGGGTTTGACACCTCTGCACGGCCGCATGATTCAGCCTTGGTTCGACGAGGATGACGCGGAAAAGATGATATTCGAGATCTGCGACGAGAAGCAGCTGCAGGTGGAGCTCGACGCCCGGGACAAGTTGGGCAATACGCCGCTGCACTTGGCTCTGACCAATCGAAAGGGTAAGTCGGCCGAGCTGCTGCTGAGAAGAGGCGCCGATCCGACATTGGCCAACGAGAAAGGAGAGACTCCTTTGCACATCTTTTGCAAGCTGGGAGACCAGGACGATGACTCGATAGAGCTATACTTCAAGATCTGCGACGAGAAAAATCTGAGGGTCGACGTCAACGCAAAGGACAATACGGACCGGACACCACTGCAATGGGCCGTGGTGACTCTCAAACCGAAATTGGTCAATGCACTCGTGAATCGAGGTGCTGATAAGTCTAGCTTCGCTTTTCCAACGGAGAGCCACTTCGACGAGGCATTCAAAGCGTTCGAAAAGTACAAAGGTCATCGGTTGAAACTGAGAGTGTCGACTGGCTTTTTGGCCACCGTCAAGAGTTTAGAGAAAATAGGATACAAACTGGAATTAATCGACGCACTGACGATCATGAAATTGCTCGTCAAGTACGGAATGCTCCGGAAATCAGTAGATTTTGTAAAATGTTGGCTCAACGATATTCATTTCACTTGGAGAGCGAAACTAGTAGCGGTAGATCCGAGTCTGTCGATCTACGACATGCTTCAATTGAAATTTGAAGATGCGGCGAAACGATTCACACAGGTGGACTACTTAAAAATGTTACAAGTCGCAAAAGATTGGTCAATAATCCTCGAAGAATCAGGAAACCTTTACTGTGAGAATCTCAGTGAGTGGCTAGCCAGAGTATTCGTGTGTCGCTGGGGACTGGATTCTGTCTTGGAGCTGACGCGCTTATAATAATTGCCGAATCTCTGCCGTGAAATGACCATCGATCGGTCGATGAGCCAAGATTCATTTGTCTTTTATGTTGCTTAACATGCATTTAAAAATGAAATAAATTCATTGATTTTCTTCGATTTAAAAATATCGTTTTTTTTATTTGATATTGAAATTTTATTTATTAATGAAAATTCTCTTCTCATCGAATATAACTTACCGGAGGCGAAGACACACGCCCCGGTGACGATGAACAGTGTCTAGGTTGCAGTTTGTTGTGATGATAAGACGTCCTCTACTCCGGCGAGGTGTTGTTTACAAATATACCTTGGGCTAAGCCTTTATTAGAGTTAATGGATGATCTGTATTGTTTAATTTTAATTTTTAAATTTTTAACATAATAGTTATTTATGTAACAAGTGCCCAAAAAGCTGGGCACGTGTTGCATACAAAATTTTATGCAATAGGAGACGAAAAATACTTTCATTTAAATGAGGCGTTTTACCGCACACCCGTGTCCAAAATGAGGCATTTTACCGCACACAAGTGTCCAAAAACGCTTTTTGAGCACTAAAAAATGTGCGAAAAAAGACATTTTTCGTCATACTATTGCATAAATATAATTTATTTTAATTTAATAGTATGAAATTTATCATGTATGTATTTGTACGTATTTTCTTTGGATGTAAAAAATTGAATACGAAAAGGCTACATTTTCATGACTCATACGGCTAAAAACAATTGTCGTGGCAGAACTAAAAATAAGTCGTATGAAAAAAACGTATAAATATTTAACCAAGTTTCATCGTCAAATAAAAAAATTTTTGCACCTATGTAGCAAAAAAAAAAGTCTTAGATTATCAGCCTCGGCTTCGCCTCGGATGATAAATTACACGTGCGCAGAGACTTTCCAGTTTTTCACTCCCTACGTGCAAAATATACTATATTTAGCTGCATTACTGATAAGATTGTCCTGCTGATGATACGACGATATTTTTATAACAGTTAAACAGAAAATGAAGTTTTGGCGAAGGATAATAAGTAGTAAGCTATTTTTGACACTTTTTCAAAAGTCCAATTTTTTGAGAAATAACAAACATATTGTAGTAAGTACCGTACTTCGGTTTCAGATTATATAATGATAAATAATTCATACTTAAATAGTTAAGCCTGATGCCACTCCAACACCCTGGTAGAAAAGCAACATTTTTTGACCGATGGTGTAACGCTTTTTCTAAAAAAAAAAATGGCTATTTAAAGGCCATTTATGGCAAATGACTAATGACATATGACAAATGACCATTAAATGGCCATTTTTTATGAGAAAAAGCGTTACACCATCGGTCCAAAAATGTTGCATTTCTATTAGGGCAGATAGCCCAAAAATGATTTCCAACGCTAATCCTACTTTTTATTTTCCAACGAAAAACTTGAAACTTATTATTAACTCGAAATCGGAATGAGGCAGCTTCCTGCAGCCTAGTACTCACTATTCTGTTATAGAGAATTTATTTTGCAAAAAAATCAGTTGTTTATACTTTTGAAAAAATATTCGTATAGTTCCAACAGTAAACAAAAAAACTCACCATCAATTGAACAATAATTGAAACAATTGATGTTCTCACTCCATAATTTTTGCATTTGACCGCAATTGCCAAGCTAAACCTGTTTCAAAACAATAATACCTACAAGAAGTCATTATATAATGATAAGATGAATTCAAACGGTGTAGTTAAAGCTCAATGAATGCGTCAAGTCGATTGAATACATGACAATGGGTATTTAACCTAGATTCATTATTTTAAATGAAAAAAAAAACGTTATACATTTTATGAAGTTCATTCAAGATTATGATCCATTTTTTATCAAAATAATGCTAGATGTTGATTTCCAAAAATTAAAAAGAAAAAATATATAAATATTCGACACAATAAGCGTAAAAATCAGAACGATTTTGGAGCTTTGATGGTGTAGATCGAAGCTTTGTATAAGTGAAGGTACTCATAAATCACTTAGCAAAATGTTGAAAAAGTCTCTGATAAGTTCGTTCCTGGGACTGTTTTTAATCATCGCAGCAAGCAATGGTAAGTATACTCTATTTCTCACTTGTTTTTACTATATTTCAAATCAATTCTAATTTCATTCCAAACATCATGTTTCAGCTAAAAATTTACAGCCTTTAGAGCCCGTATTGGAGGGTGGCCATATTGCTAGACCGGCCAAATTCAAGCCTCACGTGTCCATTCAAGTCCTCGGTCCCTACGGTTGCACTTACCACTTGTGCGAGGGCGCGATACTCGACGAGCTGCACATCATCACCACGGCTTTCTGCGCCACTGCGTATAAAGATAAGAATTTGGTCGTCGTGGCCGGTGTGTCAGATTTGCGCGACAAAGAGGCCGGCCTGTATCACGAGGTCGAGCATATCTACACGCCCAAAACTTATCGTTTAAAATTGGAGAGTCACGACGATATAGCAATCTTGAAGGTAAGCGCCGCACTTAACTTTAAAGAAAAACTGCATCGAGCTTATGTATTTGATTTTTGTAATTATTTTTCTCTCGACAATAGCTGAAAAAACCACTGCCCCTGGGCATAGATTCAAGAATACAGGCAGTCAAATTACCCACTGCCCATCATACGGTCGAAAAAGACTTCGCGCTACTGATGACTGGCTACGGCTTTAAAGAACAGCATCCGAACGGCACAGTGAAGTTGGCAACAAGAGGCAGTCCAGTTTTACGATGGGATATTCAAACGAATCCCTTCAATGACGAGAAATGCGATGCCGATGATAAGGAATTCTGCACCGTAGTCCAGGTGTTCGAGTTGAAATCGACGACTTGCAACGTACGTTTATTTTGCGCGTTTATTCGCGATGCATTCGCAATCGAATTAATTCACGAATTTTTTCTGAATTTCAGAGACACAGCGGCGCTCCGCTCGTCGAAGTGAAACTCCTCGCGCATGAACAAATTGAATTCACCTTGATCGGTGTTTCGAAAATCACGAATCCACATTGGTGCGGATCGTTCAACAAATACACCAACGTTTCGACCTATCTGGATTTCATCAGTAACGTACGAAACCAAGTTCTAAACGACGTGCAATCTGAAACGATAACGACTGACGATAATGCGAACAAGTTGCGCGAATATCCTGACTGCTACGAATTAGAATAAGCTATGTACTATTATATTTTTAATCGATTAAAAGTTTTTGGATCAATAAAATTTCTTATTATTAAGTAAATTATCTAAACAATTTTATTCAATGAAATTCTTCTTCAAAACTCTGCGTTTCGAGAATCATTTACCTTTATCTATTTCCGACGGAAAAAAAATCGTCCAAGAAAAAGTAAAAGTAGTAACTAAAACCATAATATTAAATTGTTAAATGTAATAAAATGTAAGAAAATGTAAAATTACTAGCGATTTCGGACAGCCAATGCATTAAAAAAGGCAGTATAAAATCACATTTTTTTACACTTTTTTACATTTTCTTCAATATGCTATTCCCATCGACAGCAGCAAGTGATTTTCGTGAAAAAAATGTATTAATTTTTATGAATAAAGTAAGACAAATTATGATGGATATGTATATAAACCAAATTCAGTCATCTCAGTACTCCACAGTACATCTATAATGATGTTACAATGCTCTCTGCTGCATTAGATTGAGTTCACTTTTTTCACGAAAATCACTTGCTGCATAAGTAAAAATTGCAACATTTAAAATTATTATTACAGAATTTTATGCTTTTTTACACTTTTATTCATAGGGCTTTCATCTCTCTAATTATAGGTAAACAAATGTAATAAACTGTAATAAAAAGTAAAAAAGTGTAGAAAAACGTATCACATGTCCGAAATCGTTAGTAATCTTACATTTTTTACACTTTTTTACTTTTTATTATAGTTCACACCATTATTATGCACTTTATTTAGAAAAAAATTCTGATGGGGATGCTAACAGAAAATGAAGTTTTGGCGAAGGATAATAAGTACAGAATAGGAGCTATTTTCGACACTTTTTTTCTAAAGTTCACCTTTTTTGGTCAGTTAATCAATATATGGTAAAAGACAAGTACCGTACTTTGATTTCAGAATATATAATGATAAACAATTCATACTTAACTGGTTAAGCTTGATGTTGTTCCAACAGATAGCCCAACAATAATTTCCAACCGTAATCCTACTTTTTACTTTCCAACGAAAAACTTGAAACTTATTGCTAACTTAAAATGGAAATGAGGCAACTTCTTGCTGCTTCGCGTCACTAAGTACTCGCTATTCTGTCAATGAGAAATTATTTTGCAAAAAAAAATCAATTGTTAATGCTTTTGAAAAAATATTCGTATTTTTCGAACAGTAAACAAAAAAACTCACCATTGATCGAACAATAATTGAAACAATTGATGTTCTCACTCCATCATTTTTAGCGCTTGATCGCCACTGCTAATGTTAAATCAGTTTCAAAACAATAATACCCACAAAATGTAATTATCTAATATAAGAAGATGAATTCAAACGGTATAATTAATGCTCAATAAAAGTGTTTCGACGACACAGTTGGCGGTTGGATTGAGCTTATCAATTTAAGTTGATAATTGACTATTCTTTTTCGACCAAAACTGATTGAATACATGACAATAGGCACTTAAATCGGATTCATAATTTTAAATGAAAAAAAAACGGTATCCACTGTTTGAAGTTTATTCAAGATTATGACAGAATTTTATGAAAAATAATATTAGCATTTCAGTTCCAAAAAGTCAAACGAAAAAAGAATATAAATATTCGAAAAAACAACTGTAAAAATTGGAGTGGTCTTGGATTAGTAAGCAAAATGTTGAAAAAGTCTCTGTTAAGTTCGTTCCTGGGACTGTTTCTAATCATCGCAGTAAGCAATGGTAAGTGTTCTCTATTTTTCACTTGTTTTTCCCTGGCAGAAATGCAAAATTTTTTCACCATTAGAGTAACGCTTTTTTTTCATTGAAAATGTTGCACGTCTACCAGGGTTATTTTACTTTAAATGCCGCACTCCGATAATTTATCTTTTCACTGCAAAAATGAAGTTTCAGCTTACGAATTAGAACAAGTAGGGGTTGAACTGGAGGGTGGCCATATCGCCAAGCCGGGCAGGTTCAAGCATCACGTGTCCATTCAAATCCTCAGTTTGAAAGACGGTTGCACTTACCACGCGTGCGAGGGCGCGATACTCGACGAGCGGCACATCATCACCACCGCTTACTGCGTCGCCGATAATGCAAACGAGAGTCTCGTGGTCGTGGCCGGTGCAAGAGATTTGCGCGACAAAAAGGCCGGCCTGTATCACGAGGTCGAGTACACCTACGTGCCCAAAACGTATCGTTTTGTGCTCTATGGTCTCGACGATGTAGCAATTTTGAAGGTGAGCCCACTTTCGGTGAACTTCAAAGGAAAAAACTGCATTGAGCATTTAAGTTTAATTTTTGTCTTTTTTTGCTCCTGACAATAGTTGAAAACTCCGTTGCCCCTGGGTACAGATTCAAGAATACAGGCAGTCAAATTACCCACCGCCGATTATTCGATCGAAAAAGGCCCGTCGTTCCTAATGTCTGGCTACGGCTTTAAAGAACAGCACGCGAACCGCACATTGAAGCGGTCATATCCCAGTCCAGTTTTACGGTTCGATGTTCAATGGAACCCTTTCAATGACAAGCAATGCGATGCCAATAATAAGGAATTCTGCACCAGACTCAACGCGCAATCTAATTGGACGACTTGCAATGTACGTAACGAAAAGCCGGTTGTTTTTCAGAGTATTCTATCAAATTAATCACGAATGTACCTTCAATTTCAGATGTACGACGGCGCTCCGCTCGTCTATGGGAAATACGACTCAAATAATCAACGTGTGTATACCTTGATCGGTATTTTTAAATACATGAATCCATATTGGTGCGGATCTTACACCAAACACACCAAAGTCTCGGCCTATTTGGATTTCATCAATAACGTAAGAAACCAAGTTCTAAACGACGTGAAATCTGAAAAGTTACCGACTGACGATTATCCGAATAAGTTGCGGCGGTATCCTCAGTGCAAACTATAGTACAAGTCACGACGTGTTCCTGAATTTCAATTATTTTAATTATTACTCTTATATTATTCTTAAGATTGAACATTTTTTTGAATAAATAAAAATTCTTATTAATGAGTAAATTATTTGTACAATTCAAGTGAATCAAAATTTTCTCGAAAAATTCTGTGTTTCGAGAATCATTTACCTTTATCTATGCTATAATATAACATTCAAAACTAACTTCCTCGAGGATTCGAATATCGTGCCGATGACCTGCAATGTAAGTTTATTTTCACGATTCTCTTACGGCTGAAAACTATTGCTCTTTTATCTATGGCACTTTTATCAAGTTTTACAACGACAAAAAAATTGAAATTTTTTTTTAACCACCCACAAAAATTTTTTGTAAAAACGAACGTTTTTATGTTACTAGAGTCAAAAACAAAGTGCTAGCTCGAAAATTCGTCGTTCACGGAGAGGTCGCTTTATTTTACTATTACGATTTTCGAGAGCAACTATTGTTATAGCGAAGCTGCAATTAAGATTTGAATATTATATACGGGTAAAAATCGAGTACCTTAGTTCTGAAAGATGACCCTCGTATAGTTAGAGAGGTCAAAATAACTGTCTAGCACGTTTACTTGCCCTATATTTGAAATGATGAAAAATTTCATATAATTTAAGGACACATTTCTTACTTATGTACAATTTTTTTTAGATTTTACTATTTTATTTGTTACTATTGTTGTACTATTGTTTTTACTTTTTAAAATGACGAGTGACGCAAAAGAACTTTATTCAGAATGTCTAGAATAGGGCCCATGTACCACAATATTGATTTAAATCATCTTGAAAATCATCGTCCTATCTTAGCCTTTCGTGGAAAATCAACACTCATAAAATTATGAGTTAAATTACTGCCTAAACAGATCGTTGGAGAACTCCAAAAAATCAATTGTTTGTCTGTATAAAAAACGGCAGAATCGTGAACGCGATTAAAAATTACTTTCATTGCAGAAGATAAGTACCATACTTCGATTTCACATGAACAATAATAAACAATTCATACTTAACTGGTTAAGCTTGATGCTGCTTCAACAGATAGCCCAAAAATAATTTCCTATAGTAGTCCTACTTTTTATTTTCTAACGAAAATCTTGAAACTTATTGCTAACTTAAAATCGAAATGAGGCAACTTCTTGCTGCTTCGCGTCACTAAGTACTCGCTATTCTGTCAATGAGGAATTTTTTTGTAAAAAAAAAAATCCATTGTTAATATTTTTGAAAAAATATTCGTACTTTTCCAATAGGTTCGATTAAACAATAATTTAAACAATTGATGTTCTTACTCCATTATTTTTGCGCTTGATCACAACTGCTGAGATCAATTAGTTTCAAAACAACAATGCGCACAAAAAGTCAATATCTAATATGAAGATGAATTTAAAAGGTGTAGTTATAGCTCAATGAATTCGTTTTATCAACACTGTTAAAATTGACCAAATACCTGACAATAGGCATAATTGAATCGATTGTTAGTATGTGCACAATTTTATATGAAAAAACACTTTATCCATTGTTCGAAGTTCATTCAAGATAATGACAGAATTTTTTTTAAATTAATGTTAGAATTTTATTTTTAAAAATTGAAAGGAAAAAAGAATATAAATAATCAACAAAACAATTGTAAAAATTAGAACGACTTTGGAGCTTTGATGGTGTACATCAAAGCCTTGTATAAATGAAGGTACTCATAAATTAGTAAGCAAAATGTTGGAAAAGTCTCTGTTGAGTTCTTTCCTTGGACTGTTTATAATCATTGCAGCAAGCAATGGTGAGTATTCTCTATTTTCCACCTGTTTTTACTTTACTTCAAACGCCACACTGCAACAAATTCTATTTTCATTCCTAAAATAAAGTTTCAGCTGAGCCCATATTAGAGGGTGCCTATGCCGTTAATCAGGCTAAGGTCAACAAGTTCAAGCATCACGTGTCCGTTCAAATCTTCGATTCGGAAAACGGTTGCACTGACCACTCGTGCGAGGGTGCAATACTCGACGAGCTGCACATCATCACCACCGCTTTCTGTGCCTTTGCGCATAAAGATAAGAATTTGGTCGTCGTGGCCGGTGCGTTAGATTTGCGCGACAAAGAGGCCGGCCTGTATCACGAGGTCGAGTATACCTACATACCCAAAACTTATCCTTATCTGAAGGGTCGCGACGAAATAGGAATTCTGAAGGTAAGCGTACTTACGGTAAACTGTAAAGAAAAACTTCATCTATAGCTTATACGTTTGATTTTTGTAATTTTTTTTCTCTTGACAATAGTTGAAAAAACCGTTGCCCCTAGGCAGCGATTCGAGAATAGAGGCAATTAAATTACCCACCGCCGATCATTCGGTTGGACAAGGACTTTTTATGACTGGTTACGGCTTTTTAAAACAGTACTTAAATCGCACACTTGACTTTGAATCAACGATCAGTCCAATTTTACGGTTCGATGTTCAAACGGAAGTTTTCAATCTTAAGGATTGCGATGCCAATAATAAGGATTTCTGCACCATAGTCCTTACGATGGACTCAAAAGCGACGACTTGCAATGTACGTTTAACGATAACGAAAAGCCGGTTATTTTTCAGTGCATTCGATCAAATTAATCCACGAATTTACGTTGAATTTCAGGCGTTCCATGGCGCTCCGCTCGTCGAAGCTTCATACGACTCGAATAGACAAATCGTACTTACCTTGGTCGGTGTTTTTAAATCATGGATCCCAAATTGGTGCGGAACTTACAACAAACACACCAAAGTTTCGGACTATCTGGATTTCATCAGTAACGTACGAAACCAAGTTCTAAACGACGTGAAATCTGAAAAGTTACCGACTGACGATTATCCGAATAAGTTGCGGCGGTATCCTCAGTGCAAACTATAGTACTAAGTCACGAAGTGTTCCTGAATTTCAATCATTTTAATTGTTACTCTTATATTATTAATCGATTAAAAATTTGTTTGGATAAATAAAAATTCTTATTAATGAGTAAATTATTTGTACAATTCAAGTGAATCAAAATTGTCTCGAAAAATTCTGTGTTTCGAGAATCATTTACCATTTTAGATATCACTTACTTTTCAGCGATTAATTCGTAGCCAGGCTCAACAAGCAGCAGCAGCAGCTAATGCTAGTGAAGCGTATATAAAAAAAGTAGAAAAAAAAAACTCACGAGACCGATAACGTACATTCGTACCGTACATACGAAACGGACTCGAGCGAGGCAGAATCTACGTCCGCGCGCGCGCCGAGAGTGATTAAAGCTACAATGAAAAAGATAACGCGCGCGCGCGAGCGTGTGTGTGTGTGTGTGTGTCCACTTTCTGCGTTGAGACGACACGGCAAAAGAGGGTGCAACGGACGATACCTCGTGCTTATGCCGTATACACTGCAAAGCTTTTACTTTGTCTGCGTAATCGACGTCGAGTTTCGCGTTTTATGCAAATGCCGTGCTCGGTTTATATTATACTCTCTCTCTTAGTCTCTCTCTCTCTCTCTCTCTGTGCGCACTGAAACGCCTAGGAAAATTATTCGAGCTCGGCTGGGGCTCGTATATACAGTGAAATTCACTCGTGCGAAAAAAAACAAAACGAAACGAGTGGTATAAACGTAAGTGCACTGCAGGCTGCACAGGCCTCGAGCTTAAACTACTACTACTACTACTCGTCGTGCTTCTATACGAGAATTAATTATATATCATTGAATCGTTTAATCCTATATTGCGAGTAATCTTTACGGTCATTATTTTCGTCGATGAAACGAAAAAAAAAAGTAACGAACGAAAGAAACAGTGTCATTCGATATTCTTCTCCGTAAGGTAGAGAGTAAATACGTACATAATGCCACACACTCGTTCACACCAGTGGTAGTAGTAGTAGCTTAAGGGCGCGGATAGGTATAATGGGTATATATAGCACACCTAACACCGCGCCGATAGATGTGTTATAAGGCGCACACACGAGCTACATAACGATTCGCAGTGGTGGTACTTACCTATCTACACGCATACAAGTATACACGAAGATATTTATGGACCAGCTCAGTCAGAAATATTGCCGCACACACAGACACACATACACACACACATACATAGCCGCAGGAAGAAGAGCACTTGAAAGAGGCCACGCGGCACGCGGGGGTCTCTGGATCGTTCATTCGCGGTTGCCTCGACGCCGGGGTGTGGCCTGGAAATTCGTGCGCTTGCGCGCACAACCCTCGGACGACGAGTCACGGACTCACCCATACACCCGTGCAGCGCATCGCCGGAGTGTGTCTGAACGAGCGACATGTATATAGACACACGCACACACAGATATTCCGCGGTGTGTATTTAAGAGGTGTGAAACGGCTTTTTTTTTCTTCTCATTGGAGAGAGATTTCGTTTACACATTTCACTGATTTGTTTGTTCGTTGGTGGGTTTTGCGGAGAATCAATGGTCACTCGGTGGATTAGATTTATCCTGGAAAATGATATAAACGAAGATGAAAGAGAGGGGGCACTTGCTATACGATTCAATTAATCAAAAGGTGAATCGCCGAGCAATAATCGATGAGTACACTTGGCAAAAGAAAAATTAAATGGAAGCAGATAAGCGATCGTTCGTTCCTGGGGTTGACAACAGCACCACGGATGCCACACCCAAAAAGTAATAATAATTTTCCAAAAGTAACATCATCCGCAAAGGATAATAAAAGTCGGTGGCGTTAACGCGCTCGAAAAACGCGAAACGGCAATTCACCCGTGTACTCTGTGTATAGCTCGCGGCGGCGTCATCTACTGTTACTGCCACCGATGCGTGCATCATGCGACAACAAAAGTCGACTCGAGGCGCGCCTTTGGCGCGTGTCGTGGTTATATGCAGAGAGGCGCAGAGCTGAGTTGATCGTCCGATATGTATAAAGTTCAGACTCGACGACGACGACGACTACGACTGCTGCGATCAGTTTAATTAGCCGATTAATTCGAGAGAGAGAGACGATGCGACGGTATATACGTACGATCTAATTCACCCCTATAAACACAGAGCGGAGATTATCGCGTTTAATCGTCAGATATACGTTGAGGTGCGGCTGTATTTATACGCGTACGATTTTTTCCTTTCTTTATCAACTTTATTATTATAAAACGTGCACGGAGTGTTGAGGGATGACTTTTTTTTTATCTTTCGTGCGCTGATGAGTTTCTGAACGAGCATGAAATTACGTGCCAGTTATAAAGTGTTTAGAGAATTGGGTATTATCAGCATAATGGTGTACCGTATATGAAAATAATTTCGTTGATTGCTTTTCATCGTTTACATGCATGCCAAATTTCACGCTTTCAGCCTGAATTAAAAGTTAATCAACTAATTTCGAAAATTTCACATATCAATTTTCGTAGATAGTCAACTGAATGAAAATCCGAACGAAAAATAAGTACTTGTACCAAACTCATGAAATTGTAGGATATGATACGCGCGTATCGGCTCCGATGAATTATTTTGACGATTAACCGGCTCATCGATAATAGTTATACACCGCGCAGCGGCAATGATCAAATAATTCATTGTTTTGATCCAGTAATATAATCCTCGCGGTCGTAACCACCGTATGAGAATTCATATGATTATTACAACAAAATGAGCTCGTAATTATATCAAGTGATATACTCAACCCCTCTGTGCACCGTATCGAAATTGAGCGTCGACATTTTATAAGCGAAATACTTCAAGGAAAAAAATAAGAGAACATTTTTATCTCGACCTTGATCTTGATATTTAATTTAGAGATTTTAAAGCCGAGTTTCATCATCTTACGGATTATTAAAACGAGGTGGTGAAAGAGAAGAAAAAAAACTAAGCACGGCGCAATTATTTAACGAGAATTTGATGATGAAAATAAAAAATTAACTTTCTCAAACGGTCGATCTTTTATTATATAACTCGGTGCCGCAGAATGGAGTTTTTCTCGAGGCTCGTAAAAATTACCTATGCACACACACAGCCATCCCCGCAAGAAAGGTAATTTTAAAGGCTCGATTTAACCATATATAACCGAGAAAGTACACACAGGGAGTACAAAGGCAGGGGAGGGGAATCGTATTAGTCCGTGTATGCGTGTGTTCGAGGGAAGAAAAGAGGGATGTGCTGTAAGGGATGAATTATCGGTAAAGGGAGGGGCTATCGCGTTACCGCCTGTGTGTGTGCTAACCCCTCTCGTACTTTCCCCATTTCTCTCTCTCTCTCCCCTACCACCACCATCATCCGCCGTTCGCCAACAACTAATATTACAATCCGCTCACGGCGCGCCGTATGTATAGTGTCGCGTATAATAAGCCGGCCGTGATTCGCTCGCGCGCGCCCGCGTGTGTGTGGCAATTTTTTTTCTCCTCTCGTATTATAAAAGCCACCCCTTACAAAGGAGAGGGAGATTGCTTGTAGGTAGGTAGGTATACACGTTTGATGATCGGAGAGAGAGAGAAAAAGCGAACCCGAGGGCGACACAGGATGAAAAAAAAAAATAGGAAGGAATTATAGAAGTTGGTACGGTAGCTAGAGGTAGGGCTAATTGATTGTGCATACAGCGCGATTGTCATGGAGATATTCTCACCCGGTGCGATGAAGGCCCTATATGCTACGTGCAATTGTCTCAAAAGTTATTTTATATTTTATATATTGTAAACGGAGGCTGCGCAGCTGTGTACGGTAAGTAGCACAGCTTATAGGACGATTATGTACGCGTAACTCATTTTTTTTTTCGCAGCGATAATTCGAGTGGCTGCAATAAGCGTGTCTCTCTCTCTCTTTCGCTTTTGTTCATAAACGCTCTCGAATTTTTGACGATTACCCAACTGTTAGAGCTAGCCCGGCGCCTTTTGTATATACTTTGGTATTAAATATTTGAGCTCGAGGGATACTTACATAGGCGATGAAAGAAGAAACCAACGATGTTGCTACAAACATTTTGTGTTATGTATTGTATCTTATGTATTTTATGTCACGGCGTTTTTTTTCCTGCGCTTGCGAATGCGATTGAATTAATTAGGTCTGCTTTTAAAGAGCTCGTCGTCGCCGTCGTTGACGTCTTAACTGCTGATAATACGGATTGTTCTCGCCGTCGCTGCCTCTTCCTCTTTTTAAATACATCTTCTTCTTCTTCTCCTCTACTGGCACCGGTTCGCCTCTAAGTGGATTCGTACTACTTGAAATGTAAATGTCGCGCCCCTTTTATGACAACCGTGAGGAAAAGAAGCTGCTCTTCTCTCTAATTAAAAAAGTGATTATCGTTTGACGGTGCACTGAATGAAGACGATGAATTTTTTTTTTTTAATTCACCTTCTCCCCTGGATAGAGCGAGATCAACTCGATAGCCCAGAGAAAGGAAAAAAAACGTACTTACTTCCCATCGTCGTGAAGCTTGACCCGAACTTACGTATATGATTTTTTCTCGTTCTCGGTACTATTGACTATCGAATTGCCACAATGCCGTGGACATAATGAGATTATTAACACGATCCCAGTGGACAACGTCTCGTTGTAATAACGCATTTCCGACTCAACGAGCTCTCTTATTATAAGCATCGTCCATTGACTGCTATTCGGAGCAGTGTGAAAAATCATCGAATTCAAGTATAGGGTCTTTCTCTCGCAAGGTGCAATTCGACTCTTACATTATATTACCCAAACACGAAAATGCCTTCCTTTTTTTTCCTTCAGTCTTCTTCTTCTTCTTCTTCTTCCCCATTGACGAATTGGAAAGAAAAAACCCCCCATGCGTTATATACACTTCAAGTTCCCTCGAGTGCCTTGCGTGCAAAAAAGTATTCTCCTTCCGTCGTCGATCGATCGATCTCGAACGACGACGACGATGATGCTTATTTGCGGCCAAAGATGTTTTCACAAATACATAATACGTACAGTAGCAGCATCGCCCCGTAATTGGCCCTATATACGTATGTATACAGCCTCGCTGCTGCATTATGTTTCCCTCTTTCCAGGCAATACTACTACTACTACTACTGCCACTACAACACACAGGTTCGATTTTCATACACACATACGCGTTTGTCTCGCGCTGCCGTGCTTCCTTTGTATCGATTCTCCATAAACGCCTTCTCTACGCATATCAGAGGGGGTGTGTTATTCCAAACTCGCCTCGCGCCTATATATGAAAATAGAATCGTATATATGATGTGTGTATGCATATTGTTGTACACGTGTGATGTCGGTAGTGGTGGGCAAACAACAACAACGACAACACAAACGGAATATCGAATGTCTTTGTTGTTGTGAATCGTCGACGCGTCAGCGAGCGTGTGATTCAAGACACGGGCGTACTGCAGGACACCGCCGAAATGCAGCCACCCTAAAATAGTCACCGATTCAAATTCTATTAATTCGCGACGTTTAGAAACTTAATACGCTCGATATGAATCATGAAGTTTGGCTCGAAAAAAGTAAAAAAAAAATGAAAATAAAATGCGTTATACGTTGCAATAAGACAAAAGGGTTGCTTCGCGCTTACATTGTATTCCCAAGCGGCTTGTGCGGTGCAACGCGCGCGAGTCGCAGCAACCCTTCTTCTATCGTGCAATCTTTATTACTAAAAAATACGTAAATGAAAAAAAAACCGTTTGCGAAATTTTATTTCATTTCCACCGATATACTGCGAGAGTTTGAGAATTCCGATGATCGCGCGCGTGAAAAATTCATTTACAAAAATAAAAACGTACTCTCGAGATCGCGCTGTAGGCAGAGAAGCTATATACGAGGGGACGTTAAAAACAATTTTAGATGATTGAAGTGGCGCGCGGTGCTCGTTCGAGTGCGAGCACTACGTACTTTAGTGTATTAACCGACGGATACGAGACATACATTATATCCCAGTTTAGTGATGCACAACAGTTTATGCGGCTAGTTTTAGGCCAACGAAAATTTTTCACGGACTTGAAAGGTCCATTAGGACTTTATTGAGCACTGATCTGAAGAGGAACAATTTTTTCAAACGCGTATTCCAAAACTGCTTTTCTCTTTATAGGATTATTTTCATTTTGCCACTTGCAGATTTGAAGACATAGGTACTCGCCATCTAGTGGTAATGGCTCAAAGTGTTATAATCGTGTTTAAAGTTTTTGAAAACTGGTATAAATTTTTTAGTAACAATTTAATTGTCATTTGCGGTCATTTAATATGCTCCCGATATTTTTATAATGATTTTAATAGACATATTGCCAAAAACATGCCAATTGATAGTAATATATTCAAACCAAATTGTAAATAGAAATTTATCAGGGATTAGGCCATCGTTATGTATATATTACATAAAGTTCGTGCAAATTATCATTTGAAGATAACGTGATTTATAATTTACGGAATTTGACAAGTAAAAAGGTAATTAAAATGAAGTTGTTACTTTGTATTTAACATACCTATCGTTTACAATTAATGTAATTACGTCGAATTCAGCATTAGGAAATTGAATACAAGTATTGAAATATCACGAGATTCACTCATATACAATTATTTTTACTTTCCCACTTGCAGATTTACGTATACAGGTACTCGCCATCTAGTGGTGGCGGCCTAAAGTAGTATTATCATACTTGAAGTGATTGATGAAATCTGGTCGAGCAGAGCAGCAATAATAGTAACATAATTGATAATTATAATTATTAATTGTATTATGAAAATCGCCAAAAACAATCCAATTAATAATCATGTACTTTGGAACATTTTAAATTGTAATATTTTTCGTTCCCAAGGCCATTATTGATATCAACGATTTCTACTAGGATAGCCTCGAAATTTAATTTAATTTTTTCGGTGAAATTTAATTTTAGTTTCGTATACAGCGACGATTTAATGTTAAATGTTCGCTTGAAAAAAAAGACAATCCCAGTGGGTGTGCGAATGTGCGCGAGCTTCCTTTTTCCCGAGATTTTAATTGCTGCACGCAAGTCAGTGCTTGAGAGAGAGGGAATGAGCGAAAAACACTTCAGTAAAACAGAGGCCAAAGAACGAGCAAGAAGGGGGTGAGATACGAGCGCATTGTACAAAAAAAAATACTTGTCTATTTTAGTGAAATTTTCATTTCCGCGCCCGTAAATGATACACACGGTCGAGAGCGAAAAGAGTGCGCTCACAAAAAAGGCTCTACACTGCACAAACTGCTGCTGCTGCTGCTCAGAAAACGAGTGTTTCCTCTCTCGCTCTCCCTCGTTCGAGTGTAAACTCAAAGTGCTTCTCTCCCTTAAGCGAGCGAGCGCGTATACCTTCGTCCGAGATCGAGGCGAAAAAAAAGATGCACCCAAGCGTGGCACGAGAACCTAGAGAGTAGAGAGTTGAGTAAAAAAAAGAAAAAAATAAAGGCACAAACAAAAAAGCCACACGCGATCTCGAAGAAAGCTCGCCGAAACGCTGCGCGAGCTTTCAACGCACGCGATAATAACGAAATGATTGCGATCGGGGGCTCGAGTCGGGTGGATGTGCATGAAAAAAAAAGGAAAAATAAATATCGCGAGACAAAGCTTCGACGTGTGTATGTACACTGCTGAGTTTTTGCGCGATATATTAATAATCGTTTTCGCGCGTGAAAGTCACCGAGGGAATTTCAACGATCGTTTTTCTCTCTCTCTCTCTCTCTCTCTCTCTCTCTGCCTCACTGTCAGCGATCGAGCGTAAAGAGGATTGCTCGTCGAGCTTTTAACTTGATTCGTTGTGTTATTCATATACGTTTCTCAAAACGCTTCTTCTTCTTCTTCTGGGGGCTGCCGGTGTATCGCACTTGTGCCGCTCGCTTCAAAAGGTGCACTCTACAGCTCCGACGATGTGTGTGCTCAAAGGGCCACGAGAGTCTGATCGCTTTTTCTCTTAAAATGACGAAGAAACGAAATAAATGAGGGATAAAAAATAAAATTCGTTATACTTTTTTTTTAAGCACCAATAAATATTATTTTTATTTGTTGTTGTCGTTTTTTTTTCTCGAAAATAAAAAATAAAATTATAAATTAAACATTGCTTATAGTGGACTTTCTTTCACTTTTGCGACTATACACATTTGTCGTTGGTTACTTTTTTTGTCTATATTTCAGCTGTTTTCTTACTTCGTAGGAACCTGAACAAATATTAGAAAGATATCGACGAGACGAATGAAGTTATGATTTTTTTTTTTGCTTTTTTTCTCATTTTGTTTACGTTTTCTTATCGAGACTCACATTTATTTTTTTTTTTATTAATTAAATATCGATTCTTACAATTGCAGCCATTGTTGATGATTCCGTCTATACGATACGTTTTTTTTTCTATAATTAATTATTACGTTTAAATAGATATCACTTGGTGTGTTATGTGTATTTATTCATCATTACAATCTTCTAACGCTTATTATAAATAATTGATTCATACCTTTATCTATTCATAATTGGTATTGAGAGTCGTTAGTGGATAGTGGTAATGACAATAAAATCGCTCATCTCTCTTTTTTTCTCACTTATATATCATGCTTGTTTCACGCGCGCGCTTGCGAATCTTGAACGTGTTGCTTTGACGAATATACACAGTAACGAATTATGTAAAAAAAAAAAAAAAATTAGCAGCGAGATTACATGTATTTACAAATCATTACTTGTCTAATATATATACGAATAAATATACATCATACATAAAAACGTAAAATTTACACGAACATCACACTTTGGTACTCGAATTGTGTCTACAAAAAAAAAAAAACACGAAACGACCCAATCGAAGTTTTATATATATCATTATTATATAATTTGTTTTATTTACAAGAAAAAAAAACCTTCATCCATTGTGTATAAACACTTATCTATCTATTTATAATATATACTGTCTGTGTGTGTCTCAGTCTTGGAATTATTACTAAATTTTTTTCAATCCTCTAATCTCTCCTCACCGCGCCTAACACGATTCATCGTCATCATTTTTTTTCTATACATACATACTTATACGCTCTCTAGCATTATTGCGTCGACGTGACGGCCACTTGGCCGGCGTTCGGTGGGGGCGGCGGTGGCGGGGGCGGCTGCGCCGGATGCACCATCAGGCCGTGCACCTGCTGGGCCACGTGGTGCGCCGCCGCCGCAGCCGCCGCCGCGTGATGATGATGATGATGATAGAAGATGGTCTGGGCCGCCGCCGAGGCCGCCGAGTTGGGCCCGCCGTGGCTCAGGCCGCTGCCCACCACCCCCGAGGAGCCGCCGCCGGCGCCGCTGCTCACGCTGATCGGCATCGAGCCGGCCTGGCTGCTCACGACCGCCGAGGCGGAGGACTGGGGGACTACGCCCGGACCACCGGGACCGCCGCCGCCCTGAGGCACCGAGGCCTCGTGATAGAGGATAGGGACGCGCACCAGACGCTGAGCGTGGACTATGCTGTTGGTCTCGATCTCGGCTGCCAGCTGGCGCTTCCACTTGTTGCGGCGATTTTGAAACCAGATTTTTACCTGCGGCCACACGAGGAGACGGATTTTTAGCTTAACGTACTTTTTCAAATTTCATACTCTTAAACTAAATCAATTAAATCGTACTTCAACTTATACAATTATTTTGACTTTGCCACTTGCAGATTTACAGATATGAAGGTGCTCGCCATCTAACGGTGGTAGCTGACTTTGTACATGCTTGAGTTCTCATAAAATTTTTATTACGATTAACGCAAATTAACGTAACAAATTTATCACTGTTAAAACATTCATATACACTGTTACACAATTTATAATAAGATAATATTTATTGTTTGATAAAACTTTAAATTTTTTGTAAAAACAGTCACTAAAATAAAAGTAACACATGGCGTATTTTATTTAAGTTAATTTTACATGAAATCTTCGTTTAAGATTAATGTTTAAACGCCAATTGATTTTTTGCGCTTATGACACAAAATATTTATGAAAACTCAATCATGATTGAAGCTACCTTTTAAAACTAGATGGAGAGAACTTTTATGAGTAAATATGTGCAAGATTTAGAAGATGGATGAGAAGAGTCAACGTATACAATTACTTATACTATTATTTTAACTTTCCCGCTTGAGGATTTATAGACACAGCTAATCGCCATCTGGCGGTGAAGCTGACTTTTATAATGACTGAATTCTCATAAATGTTTCCGTACATTCATATATACTGCCGTACAATATAACAATATACTATAATCGTTTGATGGAACCAACAATTTAATGTATAAAATCATCATTGAAACAAAAAGTAGCCGATGCTAATTTTTAGTAAAGATAATTTTACATGAGATATCTTTAGAAATTTAATGTTTTAACACTGATTCAATTTCACGTTAATTACATGAAAAACTTGTACGAGAATTCAATCATAATTAAAGTCAGCTACAACCGCTAGATGGTGAGTGTACCTGCATCATCAAATCTTCAAGTGGAAAAGTAAAAGTAAGTCAATAAATTAAAAATTCATTATCTAATCACACATTGATTAAGTGTTGATCTTGCTTCTGTACCTGAGTCTCGGTGAGTCTAAGCGAGGTGGCCAGTGCCGCGCGCTCCGACGACGACAGGTAGCGCTTCATGTCGAACGTGCTCTCCAGCTGAAACACCTGCGTCCTCGAGAAGACGGTGCGCGTCTTCTTCTTGCGCTTGATGCCGTTGGCGTCGCTGCCGCCGCCGCCGGACTGTCCGCCCAGGCCGTTGTTGCTGCCGTTGCTCTGGCCGTGGGCCGAGGAGGATCTCTCGTTGCCGTCGGCGTCGCAGCCGTCGGGCCCGTCGTCGCCGTCGCAGCCCATCTCGTCGTGCGAGCCCTCGTCGCCGCTCAGCAGTGGGCTGCGCGAGCGACGCATACCGCCGCCGCCCCGATGATGATCGTCCGGTGTCGTGTCGCCGTCGAGATCCTCTGTAGAAAGGAGAGAAAAGAAAGAAGAAAAAAATTAAATATCTACGATCGTTTGGATGATAAACGTGTATATAGTTTATAAAGCTTTAATGAGAGGGAGAGAGAGACATATAGATACAAGCAGGCAGTTAGCGTGCGACGATGTATCTATTTATCGGCAGTGTGTATACATCGGTGGGGCTTCGCAAAGCTTCGAGCGAGCAGCCGCGACAAGTCGAGCTCTCTCTGTCTCTCTTTACGATCGCCTTAAGGAGCTAGCTATATTTTATACGCGTTATAATTACAAGACAGATTTCGCTCAAACTTTGTAAATAACGTCTCATTTAGAGCCTCGGTAAAAATGCTCGATGTAATGTCCAAAAAAACAATTGATTATGCTACAAACATTCAGCCCATTTTTAACAATCGGACAGTGACAATTTCAAATAATTTAGACCAGCTTTCTACCAGTTTATGTACAATCGTACCCACTTCACTTTCACTGCCACCGTTAGATGGCGAGTGCTTTTATTTGTAAATCTGCAAGCCATAGAGACAAAATAAATTTATATAAGTCAAAGCATTTGAAACAGGCACTTGTAATTTAGTATGTTTCAAGTCTTCATTTGTCTCAAAAATTGGAAACAAAATGAAACGATGGTTAACAAAATTATTGCAATTATGAACTGAGAAATAAACAAAAGAATAAATAAAAATATTTTTACAGATGTTTAAACTCACGCGTTATAGAATACGCTAGGACTGTATCTCATGATATTAAATAGCTATATCGAGTATTTCATTACTTGTAAGTATAGTCTATTTATAGCATTGAATACATACTTTTTAACTCGAGTCGCGCTGCTCTTCGTCATTGGCGATTATATGAATTTTCTCAAACATCGAGAGCAGTTAAAAAGTCAATCGCGGTATGACATATCGTATATTCATTACACACACGTGAGACTTGAGTATAGGGGCAAGAGCAAGAGTTTTACCTCTTTCTCGACTATATACGTACTCCGACGCTTGCGGGGCTTCTTCGCGTTCACCCGCAACAGCAGCGTCGGCGGTATAGTCGTAATATAACGCGGCAGTACCCGATGGCACATCGAACCAAAGTCTTAATCTACACAACTTTGCTTTCGTTGGATTGTTCCGTTGTATTTTTTTTTCGTTCATTCGTTTTATACCGTCGAATAACATCGTCTTTAATGAGGCGATAAATCCGCGCGCGATTCTCACCGCTGGTGGCTATCGTGGAGTGTGAGAGGGTAATTTCTTTTGTCTCTCGATCGACGCGCGCGAGAAAACGTGTTTCATTATGTAAAAGTTGGAGTATTTAAACGCGTCGTTGTAGAGAAAAGGAGGGGGGCACTTATGCTGAAATAAATGCTTGCTTCGCTTTGCTTCGTTCTTCTTTCTTTTTTTAAGTAGCTTCTAACAAGTATTTTCTCAAGTTTAAGAAAGCTCGGCTCGGGGCTCAATTGACGCAAATTATTTCCCTCTTTATAATTAATTTTTTTTTTTCTTTAAATTCAAAAACTTTATTTCATACCATAACAGTCGATCACGCAATCAATCATAACACTCTTATAATATACGGTTGCGCCGATATCGCACAGAAAAAAAAAACAATAAACAACGTAACAGAATCAAAAGAGAAAACCTTTTTCGCGTTTTTTTCCCCCTCTCGAATCGATCTGTTTTTCATCGCGATCGTTGTTGCTCGCGAGCAGCAGCATCAGCAGCAAATATAATAAATGACGATGAACAGAGAGATATACAGAGAGAGGGCGAACAAATACTATAAAAAACTTTTTGCTCTCGAGTTTTCACCCCTACCCCGTTAAAATCCATCGTTGCGCCGCGCGCGTACAGCGAGTTTAATCACCGGCATGAAAATAAATTTGTTTCGTCTGCGCGCTCGAGGTACAAAAAGCTGCTGTGCAACGACGAGCGGCAATAAAACATTTGTCAGCGATGCTACGTACGCGAGCTGCGGTGTACACCGACACACATGCATGCACGTATATGTAGGGGCTCGACGCGCGAGTCAGATTTCAAGTGCTTTTGCGAATTCGATGATTTTTCCGCAGCCGCACTGCTGCACACACCCACACACATGGATGTAAAAAAAAAAAGGGATTACTGCCTCAGCCCAAACGATTGGATGGATACGTTTATTTGGCAGTTCGGACGATCGACAGTCGGATGTTTTTGTATATTTTTCTTCTCACTCACTCTCGACCTCTGTGTGTGGTGTATACGCTGCATGATTCGTCAATTTTCCAAACACGAGCGTCGAGGATTTTCATCTCTCGTTTGTTGTATTTTTTGTTTTGTTTCGTATCGAATGCTTTCGCGTGCTGGCAGCACACATGGGTGAGGGGGCTGGGGTTTTTTTATTCGAACGCGGGCATTTATTTGTTTATGAAGTTATGGATACGAATAAAAAAGGGGGAATGATTCTCTCGACAACATCGATTGACTTTTTGAAAATATTTTTTGATTATTACTGTAAACGAGTTAAAAGGATTGCCGTGTTTTGTCTCTCTCCCCTCGAATCAATTGTTCAGAGTAGAAAAATATAAAAAAAAAAGCACATATCAATCTTTTTTTTCTCCTTACCTCTCTGCGGAAACGACCCCGACGTCGGGCTTATCCGATGACTGAACGACGAGGCGGCGTCGGAACCGGCGCCACCACCACCTCCGCCGGTACCGGCACCTACCCCGCCGCTGCCACCGGTGACTCCGAGACCAGGTCCCGCGCTACCGGGTGGCGCCGCTCCGTGACCCTCCAGTCCGGGCGGCCGACTCCAGGGGAAGGGCCACGAGGCCGCCGCCGCCGCAGCTGCTGCCGCTGCCGCGCTCCCGGGCAGCACCGCCCTCATGCCCTCGCCGGCACCACCGTCGTCGGCTCCGACGACTCCGACCGAGCCCGAGCCCGACGAAGCCGCGGCTGCCGCCGCGGCCGCAGCCGCCAGCCTCGAGTGATGGTGCTGCTGTTGCTGCTGGTGCAGGTGCTGCAGGGTCGACGGGAAGAAGACGCTCCCGACGCCGATGCCCACCGGGTAGCGGCTGGCTATCAGCGACGACATCAGGCCCAGTCTGAGACGATACAAAAGAGAGAAAAAATATAAAAATTATAGCGATTTAGTTGTTTAGCTGCTTATTGGTGTTACGATATATACATAGGCTCGTACATGCGGGGTAAATAGGATGAGAATCGATTAATCGACTTGGGCTTATATAAATACATTGTAAGCAGTGTCGCAAGTGTATGTGTGTGTGTGTGTAGTATTCAACGTTATATGTATACGCGCGCTACCTCGAGAGCTGTAATCGGAGAATTGGAGCTTGATTTAGTATTAAACACCGATCGATTGTCGCTCCGCTTTGCTCTCTCTCTCTGCTCTATTCCGCGAATATACGTGTCGTAGTGTTTTATGTATACGTGTGTGTAAGTCGCCGTGTATTACTATGAGTTCTATCGTCCGCAATGAAGAACTTGGGTCGAGGCGCTTATATATGTATAGCGTATAGTGTACAAACTGCTCGAGCAATTGAAGGTGACGATTGGCACTATTGGCAAAGACCACTGCTGTACTACCTTAACGTGTATGTACAGCGTGTATCGCATTGTGCGTGCCATATATACTTAGGGACAGTGACCGTAGTACTACTGCTACAAGTAAGCGTGTACTTGACTATCTTTTTTTTTACTTTTTATTTTTTTCCACCCCCCTGAAAGAGGAAGAGGCTTCGCGAAGCCATATCGTCTCGTATAGCATAGATGTAGGTGTATAGACGCTCTCCTGCAGCGGTAGCAGCAAAAAAAAAGGTAGAAAACGCTCTACACATCGCGAACACGACGCACGCGACGTTTATTACATATATTTACCTCTATTCTCATTTAATCGAGTTAATTGTCGCACGCGCGATTTTCGGATCTCGACTCGTCGTATGATATATCTAGTTCGTGTTTACATAAAGCTTGTCCAAATATTTATTCTGTAGGCACGTGCGATACGTGTCGAATGTGGGCGAACGACGATCGGGCGCGCGAAGGAATCAAAAAATCAACTCGAGTGCGCTTGGCTACTTATACAAATAATACATATATACACGCGCGCGTCTACGAACGGGGGTGCTAATATGTGAAGAGAGCTCAGAAACGCATATTGAGAGTCGAGGACTTGTATGCGTGTACGTGTGCGTATACACTCAATACTATTTACGGGCAGTCATCCGAGCTCTCCTCGAAACATAAAAGGGTCGCGTGCACACGCACCCTGCGAACTTCTCTCTTCTATCTTATCCGTCGACGAGATCTCTCTCTCTCTCTCTCTCTCTCTCTCTCTCTCTCTCTCTCTCTCTCTCTTTGACCTGTGTATGTGTGTGTGCGAAGAAATAGCGAAAAAAAGGAGAAGAAACTCAACCCTCTGTGTCTAGGTACACACTATTTGTATGTATGGAAGCCAAACGATCGCGAGAAAGATCCTTGCTTAAAAAAAAAGAAAGAAAGAAGAGCCACTGCTACTTGGCCGGGCGAAATAAGAAATATCTCGTAAAAGGAAGAAGCGCAAAAAAAAGGCGAACGCGCGCGAGCCGAGAGAGGGCTTAGGCGCGCAACGAAGAACACTTAAGGGGAAAAACAGATCGGTATGGATGATGTACACCTTGATACGTAATGTGCGCGATGTACGTATAGAAAAGAGCTGCGCTGGCATCAACAGATGCTTACAGTGTATAGAAAGAGAGAGAGCGAAATCTGACAACTGTTGTGTGGTATATAAACACACACTTATAGACACAGCAGCAGTAGTAGTAAGTAAGTAAGTAAGCAAAGAGAGAGAGAAAGGTACAATAATGCAGGTAGCAAAATAGACAAACGGCTTATAGGTTTGTTGCGTGTGTACTTAATGTCTGCGCAGTATAGCTAGGTATATATGTAGGCGCGATGATATATGTAAGTGAGGTGAATGTGTGTACAGTGTAAATTTGTTTGTATAGAGTGTAAGTAGAGACGAAACGGAGCGAGGCGATATAATTTACTTGTTTTCTCCGAGTGTCGGCTATGTATCGGTGTCTCAATTTTGTCGTTGTATTAATTTAATTATCGTTCTGTGTCGAATAGATACGAAAATTGATAGAATTTAAAAACTATATCAATAATTGAATTTGTGATCGATTGGTGTGTTTAGTATTAGTAATTTAAAATCAGATATTAAAATTAAAGGGCAACCGTATATTCCATTTTCAATGCAATATTCAACAAAAAGAATTCAATTCTATACTTGGCTTTCAACATTTTAATTGAAATTTACAATATTAAGATGAATAATACCGATTCATCATTCATGTCAATCGCTCACGAAAATTCAATCATAATCAACTTTAGCCTCCGCCGCTAGGTGGCGAGTAACCGATATCTGTAAATCCGCAAGTGGGAAAGACGAAATAATCGTATAAGTGCGGTAAGAACGGTCGTCGAAATAAAAGTTTACACCATTTCTTTTCTACATTTTCGCGAGCTCTCGCGTACGCACACACGCATGTATATTACGCGCACTATATAATAATATCATACCGCCACGCGCAATCTGCTCGTCGATACGCAGTTTACAAGGGTCGTTGTTGCGCCGCAGCGTCGTATTATATATACACGGCATACGATGAGCATTCGTTAACGAACACGGCACACACACACATATATACAACATCCGCGAGCGGCGCAACTCGATACCTTTTGTTAGGCACACACACACACACATAGGCAGGCACGAACACCATGCATCGTTATAACATCGATACGCGCGCGCGCGAGCAAAAGTGGCCGATTGCGCGCCCGCCGCGTGTATATGTATAATTGAAGCCTTAGGGTTTAATGCATATAAAAGCTCTCTCTGCTCAATGGGGTAGACGACGAGAGTTATGCCAGTTTTTGACGACGACGCGGTGGTAGTGGTAGTAGTAGTAGTTTTGCGCCGCCGGGGATGAAAAGAAAGAGAAAAGTTTTTGCCGTATACATCAGGCAGCGCCATGGTTATATATCTAGTAGCTACGTATTAAGAGATGTGTCGGCGCAGCAGTGAAGTGGAAAATTGACTGAGAGAGAGAAATTCTCCGGATTCTCTCTCTCGTCCGCACTCGTCAGAGGCGATTATTGTTGTTATTACGATTCTTATATAACTACTACTAATTCGCCTCTATGTATATACAAAACAGAGTTATTACGGATCTCAACTTTTTGATAACTCGACGCCGATCTGGCCCGTTCATCGTAAGACGAATTTGAGCGATGTATTTATCATTATTATTATTATTCGTTATTATCAGCCCCGCGCTCGAACGGGGGCGATGGAAAGAGAGGAGGTAAAAGATCGCCGTCCGCATCGCAAATTGGCTTATTCGCGTCCGCTATTTATCGACTTTGTTAAATTCGCGCTGATTGGCTTCGGCGCTGAGCTATATATACCTTAACTACACACACACATGCAGCTCGCTTAATATACATATATATCTATCAGTTCGTACGTATACACCGCGCTTGGCGCCGAGAGCTCGGAACATCGGGGATTACAAAAGCTCTCGTTCTCGTGTATACTACAAGCTATAGCTATATAGTTCTCGAGGTCGACCACGCTATTACACACACACACACATTTTACTCGACTCTTATCACTGCTCTTCTTCTTTCTCGTTTTCTTTTTTTGGGGCTCTCTCGCGGTAAAAACATTAACGAAATTTTTCATCCCGCGCGCAGTCTTTGCATAATGGGATGCGTTGTACGCGATTTTAAATCGCTAGAGAAGAGAGAGAGAGATGCGAGAGTTTCGAGCTTTCCTCCTTTTGGCGCGCGCGCGGCAGCTCGCGAGCTTAATTAACGCACTCGCGAGAGAATCATTCATCGTCCCGTATAAACACACACAGACATACAAACACCCATCCTCGGGATACATAACTCTCTGTAATTAACGAACGACCCGCTGAGCTTTTGCCGTATGTATAAAAGTAAGAGCTTCGAATTACGAGATAGCGGGGCTTGATGCATGCGCCGCGCGTGTATCAAGTCGATATTATTATTGTTTTTCGCCTCTTCTTTATATGTATCTCTCGTACGCGCACGATGCGCGAAAAATAAGCTTTTGTCCGGGCGACGCGTGGTTAATTATGTGCCCCTCCCCCCCCCCACCTCCCTCCTCCGTAATAATATGTCCTGTGCCTTTATACGCGCAACAGCAGCAACCGCGCAGCACGTGATATAATGATATTTTCTCGCTGTTTATTTCTTTATGAAAATACGTGTACTCCGACTGATGTCGCGAATTGTGCGCCGACTGCGAATAATATGAATTTTCTTTTCTTTCCTTTTGTTTTTTTTTTTCGTCTCGCAACGTAACGAGGGAGGGCTAGGCGAGCGCGAAAAATTCGCGCGCACGTTTCTGTAGATATATATTTTTATTAATACCACCACCGCACCGCCTCGTTTATTTATCATTTTTCTTTATTATAATTATGCTTTGTCGGGACGCTGGGGTTAACATCGCGAGCATAATCATTAATACACGATGTAGCCGTGTAAATATAATTATCATACCATTTTTTGTGCACTCTTTTTCGCGCGCGTCGCCGTCGTCTTGTTGCTTCATCCCTCATTTCTTTTCTTTGCTTTACTTTCAAAAGCACCCGCCGCGTGCGAAATGTTTTAATGGAGATGCGTCATAAAACATATGTACAGATTCCAAGAAGAAAAATCCAAATGTGATAAAAGTAGTAGCGACATTATTGTAGGCATATGACGGAATTTTAACAAGTACGTTCGAGAGGAAAGATGAAAATCACTATAAGATGATGACGATCGCGTCCCTTTTTTTTCTCGAGGTATTAATATCCACGACACGATCTGCATCGCTCGAAGGAAGTGCCACGCATTATACATTTTGGCAAATACTTTGGAGAGTTAGAGAGAGAGAGAGCTCGAGAAGAGAATGTATATAAGAAAAGACGATGATCCGCGCGCGACGGACGCTTAGCACAATGGAGCGACATAAGTACGTGTCTGCGGCGCATTATACGAGCAAACGCACATTGTCCATGGCTCCATA